TGTTAAATCTTCGTTTGCTGCTTGACCAGCTTGTTTCCTCCCATAGGAGCTCCAAGATTTAATTATTTTTGGCAAAACATAACTGTAATATTCAGGGTTCTAAGGTCAGCAAAGAGACTTTTATGCTTTTATATCCCCTCATTTTCTGCCAGAGATATTGGAATGCTCCGTTGATCCCTGGCACCATTCTGGCAAGGAAGCCAAAGTTTAATAAAAAAAAAAATAAAATAAAATAAATTCTTATTTGTATCCCTTTTACAAAGACCATGCAAATTCCCTTTTAATTTGTGGATTGTCCCCAGTTAAAATAAATGCTATAAAATAGACCTGAAGTTTCTTCAGGTCTGCATTATCTCTGTTCAAACAACTATTACATAAAAGTTGTGGCTGTAAAATTATTAACATGGGGGGGGGGGATCACTGGGCATAACATTTGTCACGTTTAAGGCAGTTTTTCCTACTTGACCATATCATTTTCATTTGATGTAGTTTTGTGATTCTAAACCTGCAGTCCCAATTTGTCAGCATACATTTGCTTGGTGAAATCAGGGACCTTGCCTCAGGTGGGTGGTTGGTTGGTTGAAACTGCAGTATAGTAATAATATTCTGTTAGTACAGGGAGGGAAGACTTTAAGTAAGAAATGATTCTGTGTTTTTTTTCTCCCTTAAACCTTTGTCTATTCATCCTCTCTCCAATTGTTTGATACTAGGGTTTGATAATGAAGGCCTAGTTGATTTGCTGGGTTGTATGGGATAGGAGTTGTTCTGATTTGCAGTGTTATGCTTTTTGTCATTAATTCATATCATTTAGCAGTTTAAAATGATTGATAACAAAAGGTTTCATGTGGTGAAACCAGAGAATTGTTTAACCCCTCCACATACCATTTCTACCCTGCCAGATTGGTTAGGTTTTTGAACATAATTGGCTCTGAAACATCAGCATAAACCTAGGGTCAAGTAAACTTGTCTTCAGCTTCCCCAATGAGCAGGAAAGACTGATTAGGGATTGAGAAATGACAGCTTTTTCTAGCCCTGTTCTCTCACAGAATGATCAGCTAAGCTGCATTTCTGCTGAGCATTTAAAAAAAAAAGAAAGGTACTTTTCCCCAAGAGAACATTTGAAAAATGAAGGGGCTCTGTTTAGAGGGAAGTGAATTTAATCTATTTCCTTTTTTTTCCCCCCTTCTTCTTCTGAGTTCCCATGTTCATGCCTTTTGCCCTCCAGGCTTAGTTAGAAAACTGAAGACCAGTCATCAGCTTGTAGTTCCAGGGTCTTGGTTCTTTAAGTACATTTGCCATTTCTCAGAAAATACATATTGTACAAGGTACTGTTAGCAAAGGACATTGCTACATCAGGTAAGGATTGTAGTGGGTAGCAGGGGAGCTTTTATAGCTTCACTTAAAGCATTTAAGTACGGTAACAATTTCACCTACTGCAAAGATGGTGGGGTGTCCGGCAACAGACACCTAATGTTTTACCTATATTTACACGTAATATTAACGTTCTGCTGCACAGTCTCTGGAGCCAGTTGATTTTTAAATTACTAATCAAGTGAATGAAGTGACTTCAGTCCTTGTTTGTTGTCAAGCAAACGCCTTTTGCGGGTAAGCCATTAGAACGCTGGCCCTTCCTCGACAACCAGCCAATGGCTAGGAATGGCTCGGAAGGGTTTACTGTAAGTACACATGTATCTGGAACCCTTTAAGGGGGAAGATAGGTGGACTGCAAGTTTGGGTCACAGATCAGAGGGTACATGCCCTAGATCATGTTGCAGGTTGGATGTTGCTCTAGTGTGAAGCCGACACTGCCGGCTGCTATGCTAAATAACATAAATCACGGTTTAAATTGGAAGCAAGCTTTTGAAATGTGTTGGAAAAAGGGAGTTCTTACTTGTAACTGCAAGTCATACGAGTAGGATATTGTGTGATGGTTCCCTCTTAGACACAGCTAGCCTGTGATTGGGTCTGTCTTAACGAATCCTCACCGTATGAACCACTGTGTGAAAATGGTGGCGAGCCAGGTTTTGTTTCATAGTCTGAACAGAAGATTTTATGCCGCATGTTAGTAGCACAGAGCAGACCAACTGACTTACAAAATGACAAGTGTTTTCAGGGCTGAATTCAGTTGTCACAAGTGACTTGTTCCTATTCATGCTGCATCAGATCCTGCCCCTTGAAATGCAGGTTTAAAATTCTCTTGCAGTTCATGGTGTATGTGTGGCTATCTATTAGAGCCCAAGTCTGGCAGTGTATAAATAGTCTCACTAATTTTTGTGACTGTAGAAAAGCAAGCCCTTCACAAATACTGAGCAGAAATCCATTGAAAGAGTAACTTGGTTTCACTATATTTATTTCCTTTAATAGTTGTTTAAGCATCTTTCAGTATATCCCAATGGGCTTTTTTCTGTGTACACAGATTGATCTGGCTCAAATTGAGTGACTCCATATTGGTTAGAAACTCTGATCAACCCAAACCGCGGATACGCACTCCATGGAGCTGAACTTTCTGTGGCTTGGGCCCCATCTGCAGCTTTAAAGCGTCTTATGTTTCCTTTTAACAAATCTTGCTCCACAGCTGCCCTGTGGTGCACACTGATCCAAGGCATGTGCAGTTTCTTGCTGTCTCTCCATTACTTCTGATAGGTGTGCAATTTGGAAAGTTGTAATTCTTGAAATGGCACCAGCACATCCAGGCAAGCACTGTTTAGCTCCAATTTTTATATATAATCTATCTATATATAATCTCTCATCAGGATTTTTACTTATGCAATAAACTTGGAAGACTTAAGAAAACAAAAAATGATGGCCTTCTCAAGTAATCATTTAAAATGAAAGTTCTCCAGGTCTGTTCCATTTCATAAAGCAGTCAGGTCTTTCCTTAACTACTGGTAGTTTACCAGAGGGTAAATTGTGGTATGTTTATACTTAACACCAAAATGACTGCGTCAAGGAACTTATCACAAAATGTGATGGTTATAGAGGGAGGAGAAGAGGTGGAAAGAAGAAAGAAAACTAGGAAAAGCTCAGCAAGGGTTTAAGTTGTGTGAATGTGCAGTTTATCCATCAATGAGTTAATGCACTGGCCTTTCACCTCTGGAAATATGGCTTCAGTGTCAAGTGCAACTTGATGGCCTCCATCGCAAACCTTTGTCTGCATCACTAAAGCACTGCAGCACGTTGGCATAAATGGAAGGCCTTGACCTAGGGAGGGTCTACAGGTAGAACTGGTGGTGGTGTCGAGGGAGCTTTGTGGTGATGCTTTTGTGTAGCCTGTCCACACTTACATACTTGTTTCGGCCTTGGTTCTGCAAATACTTACGTATGTGAAGGGTTCCGTTCAATTCAGTGGGACTATTTGTGTATGTTTGCAGGATTGGGGCCTTAATCCAATTTACCCATTAAACTCACGAAATGATGCAAAATTAAAAGAAAATGTGCTTCAGACTATTAAATGGAAACTTTGTCTTCAATGCGTGGTGCTTTTGACCCAGTGTTGGTGTACGCAGAACTGTGGGCACAAATTCCGAGTTTTATTTAACAAGCTGTTTGATGTTCAGCTGCCTTAAACACTACAAGGTAGGGAGACAGTCATCTTCCTTTTCGGTTTTAACCAGCTTTTTTTTACGATAAACAATTGAAGGTCATTCAAGAAGGGAAATAACTGGGGGGTTTTTTTGTTCGTGTTTTTGTTTTTTGTTTTTTTTTCAGGAGAAAAATTACTAGTATTTGCCATATACATTTCTGATGTGAAACTGGGCACCTCCAGAATATTTTGGTCTTTCTGGGATATATGAAGGTTTAAATAAATATTGATATTTTAAATGTATTTTTGTCACTTTTAAAAAAAATTTTGGTTGGAAGGAATAATAGATCATTATTGATAAACACCTGCTCGACACTACAGTCTTGGCAGGAGGTATTTGATATATAGAAATAGTCACAATTAACAGTATTAGTTTAGGGTTAAGGCAGAAAGTGCTTATCAAAATCGTAGCCTTTTGAATAACTCCTTCTTACACTATAACACCAAAAAATATAAAAATCAAGCGTGCTTGCATCCTCCTGGACCTGGATAGCTAAGGCCCTAATCCTACATTCAGTGGTACAGTGAGACACTTAGGTCAATAGAGACAAGGTTCTATCTACACAGATTGCAGGATTTGAGCCAGTCACCCACACAGCATACAACTAGATGATGCTGGGTTTTGTTATGCAACCGTGAACGATCTACAGTATTTCATCTCTTTTGTGGGTGGAGATTGGACAATGTTGTCCTGTTCATACTACTTCCTATGTGCCTGCACTCATGGCTCCCTTTAACATTCAGGGGAGTTTATGCCATGAGGCAAGTCGATGTTGCCATGAAATTTAACTTCTGCCAGCACATTTTTAGGAATTCATCCCTTTTGTTGCTCCGCGTGTGACACCATGAATGCCTAGGTGCTCAACCAGTTTACTGTATTTTTGACTTTTTGTAAAAACAATTACAGAAACTCTTGTTTTTTCATACCCTGGTCACCCTCACATCACCTCCCATACCAGGATAAACCAAAATGAAAGCTGTGAAGACTTGTCCTTGTGTGTGAATTAGCTAGTGGATGATGTACAGATTGGAGAGGTTTTTGTTTCCTACACTCAACCAAATTTAACACTGTTTTGCTTTTCTTGTTAAAGTCACAGGATATAAAATGTCTTTGATTTCAGGTGCTGGCATGTTTCTGTTCCTTTTCATTTAGCTCTGTATAAACATACTCTGTGCATTGTTACTATGGAATTAGTATTGATAAAAACACTTTGAGGTAAACTATTTGTAATGCTTGATAATTATTAGTGTGTACATTTTTTTTAAAGACACTGTTTCTTTACCTCAATTAATTTAAAGGAATGGACCAATCAATGTATTAAAGGATGATTTCTTTACCTAATAGTTTCTTTTTGTGTAGTCTTTACCACATCTACAGTATGATGTATGCACTTGCACTTATTTTGCTCAACTGTTTACTGCCCTGTCTTTCTCTATGGTGGTGAAACTCGTGCTTTTAATATTCCCTCTTCCTGGGCAGGGGTGAGATTTCACCTATGCTATACAAATGTGATAACTCAGTTGTTTACATCTACTTCCTTGTAGTACCCCTCACCAGAGTGCGAGCACCTCACGTACACCTTTATCTTTGCAATATCACTCTGCCTTGGTTTCCCATTTATAAAATGGGGAGAATGAGATGTTCTCTCTGTAGGGGAGTGATTTGTGCAAGGTCACACAGAGCCAGGACTTGACCCTAGAGCTCCTACAACCTAGTCCAGCATCTTGACTGCATAACCAACCTTTCCTTATGAGGACACAGTTAAGGAGCCTCAGCATAGTGCAAATAAACAGCAGGACATCGTATTTAAAGCAAATGTACTTGCTACTCTGCTTACGCAAGGTGCTGAATTTTAATCCTCATGTTGCTGGGGCTTTCTAGGGTCGAGTTCACACAACTGCCTCATGATGGTCTCACTGCTTCATGGCAGGGTCACTTCGAATAGTACCCCTCCCCACCCCCCTTAGACTGCATGGATATGTTGGCACAGTGCTGTTGGAGAGAGCATCTAACACCAGGCCCACCAAACCAAGGCATTTAGCACATATACCTGTTCAGTAATTCTTTCTTGATGCATTGATTTACAACTTATTTACACATGGGGGGAAGTGAGTTTAATTGCTACATATGGGGATTTCTGGGGTCCTCGTGCCTTTCAGAAATAGTTTAACACTGTTAATAGTCAGTGGCTCCTGATGAAGTAACAACTTCAGTTTTGCATCCACTACTAATCGTACCTACAGTACGCTCTAAAAGAGAGTGTCATGCATGAGCTCTGCTCCCGCTTCATTGCAGGTTCAGAACCTGTCCCTGATGGTCTGACTATGATACAGCTTACGAAAAGTGTTGTGGTTTCTCAAGCTGATCAATTGGTTTACAGCTGGGGGGGGAGAGGGAAAGAGAAGGGGTAGGTTGTTCTACAAATAAGACAGTTCAGGCCCTGAAAAGCTTGCAATCATCTCTAGAGTGACAAAACAAAGGATCGAGCGCTGTATCTTCCCCTCAGGTCGGCATCACTCTGAAAAGGGGCTTCCTTCTATAAAGGAGCTTGCCCCTTTTTGTATCCCGTGTCTCTTTCTATGCCTTCACCACCCTCTAATTTAATCTGCCAGGGGGAGGGTAAGGGAAATTTTTAGGTTTCTGTATTCTGACAAACCTAATCCTCCCCTCCAGGACTGACTGGTAGCAAGTCTCCCTCCCTCTTGCCTGTCCATAAATTCCTCCAGGCAGTGCTGCTGAATGGAGGTGTTTATCTCAGCAGGGGGTTGTATCTACAGCCCTTCTATGGCCAGACAGAGCTCTTGCTCCAAATGTTATTGCCACACTAAAGTTGTTGTGTGTTTTTTTTTTTTTTTTTGGACTAGCAGCCGAGATGGTGTCATCCCTGCCACTGGCATAAATTTGAAATCAAATGCTACTGGCCTGACTCCAGCAAAGATGGTCTACCACTTCTGTACCCCAGAAGTAGCACTGTGAGTGCCTCTCCCCTTGGGTGAGGGAGGTGGTGTGCTTACTGGCCTCTGCCAGTTGGCTACCCAGTCCATGGCATGGATACCTGGCTGCTGTCACCTAAGCCAACGGGTTTACTTTCAGCCTAAAACTAGCATGGCAGACCCAAAGAGCTGTCTTCCATCATCCGTTCTCTTGAGCTCTCTAGTACAGTAGGGTGCTCTAACCTGCAATAACTCCCAGAGCTAAAACTTGCAACGGCATGCCCTCAGGCCGCGAGGATTTCAAGGGAGCCAGACGGTGAGCGTTGCTTGCAGGCCACGATGCTGTAGAAAATAAAACGTGAATGAGAAAGTGAAGAACTGCTCAGAAGCTTTGATGGGTTCTGGTATCACTGTTCTAGTAGGAATTTGGCATAACAGGGGGAGTGTGTTTCAGATTGTTAACCATTGTGTCTGGTTTCTCCCATTGTACAGTCACTTTTATACTTGCTGGCCGTGCACTGGATAGCTTACATAGTGCTGTTAACTGCCACCAGGAGGAGCCTTGCACATGTAACAGCTTTCATAGAATCTCAGGGTTGGAAGGGACCTCAGGAGGTCATCTAGTCCAAGACCCTGCTCAAAGCAGGACCAATCCCCAATGTTTGGCTCAGATCCCTAAATGCCCCCCCCTCAAGGATTGAACTCACAACCCTGGGTTTAGCAGGCCAGTGCTCAAACCACTGTGCTATCCCTCCCCCCAGTAATCAGTGGTGTGCACTTAAACTAGTTGGTAATTGTGCACTGACCTTGTAGAAAGGATGGGACAAGTACCAGCTCCGTAAGTGGCTCATACAATAGAACAGATAGGTGAAGGTTGCATCTCACTCTAAAGACCCAGTACTCACAGGTGGTGGTAGTAGCAGAATTCAATTGTAGGATTCGATGAGCCCCTAGCCATGACAGCTGTATGGGCATCCTTCCCTAAGGATTCTCTCTAGGGTTCAGAACTGCAGTTTCCAATTTATTTATTGCAGTTGATTAACTCATTGGTGTTTAGTTGTAGAGAGGCCACTATTTGACACAATGTCCCAGGAGGTACATGGTCGCAGGTGGCCCGTGAAGTGACCTCACCTGAGACCAGACTGCTAGCTACTGTGAAAGATGTAGACAAGCAAAGCCAGGGCTTTCTGTCTGCGAGCTGCCTTGTGTTGAATGCTAACACCCTATTCCAGTCAACACAATTCCACGTGCAATGCTGCTATGGTGCTAAATACATTGTAACTTCTTGCATGCTGTAACTACACCAACAGGTGTATCATAGGGCTGCTGGGCTGAGTGTGAGAAGGCACAGAATGGTTAGGTGGCTATTCCTGTCTCCCTGTTCCCCTTAGTCTGCACGAAGGGGTGGTATCCAGAGGAAATGTCACATTTTGCTCTTACAAACAGGTTTAGATTGGCTTCCATTTAAGAAGAATTTATTTTAGTCTCCCCCCCCCCCCAAATGCTTCTGCCATTAGCACTGCGTAACTATGAACTGGGGGGGGGGGGTAGGACTAGACAGATGTGCCGTATATTGCTTTTAATGGAGGGAGTGTTTGCTGCTTTGAGATGTAAAGATGGCCAAAATGTTTTTTCTTTTTGTCCGCTTGTGATCTTTGTAATATCAAATCTGGTCTTGCTGGAGGACTTCCTGGGACTCTGGAGGGATATCAGCTTATATTGTTTACCTGCAGGAGTGGGAGTGTTAAGACATCACTTCTCCACCAAGTCAGTCACAGGTATTAAGTGTGTTAAACGAAGTATAAAACGTGCTGACTAGAAATCCTTCCTCTCTCTCTTTTCATTCCTTTGCACATGTTGCTAGTTTCACTAGCTGTCCACTCACCATAAACGCTAGCCAGGAACTCTCCACTGCCTTTTTTTTTTTTAAGGGACAAGTCATCTCAGGCTGCCTCTGTTTTTAGACATGTAATCTGTTCTTAACTTGATTATACACCAGTCTGATTTTTTCCCCTTCCCTCCTTTTTGCAAGTACTTAAGGGGGGGGGGGGAATCCCTTAAACAAGATCCTTCCCCCTCCTTACCTGATGGGGATGATGCTTAGGCAGCCAGCGACACAAGACAAAATGAAACAGAGCCCGCTGAACCAGTCCAGTGTATGTTGATAGATCTTGTTGTAGGCTGTGGATGTAGCTACCCCCGTGATCACTAAAGACAGCTGCAGCAAGACAAACACCTTACCTGTAAACAAGCCAATAAATAGTTACTCTTAGCCAGAGCCTCAACGAAAGAAGGAAAACCACTCTATGTGGAGTCAACGTGGACAGAAAGCCACAGCCCTTAGATTCAGGCCCTTTGACACATAATAAATGTCATTTTGGATAACATGGAACCTGTAGACAAGACCACCCTTGTGCCAGAACTACTGGTCTTAAGAAGATGCCTCAGCACCTCCCCTGTAGTTGTGGACCACCTCTGCTAAGGAGCCACCAAAAACTCCTTTAAGTAGGTGCCATTGGTGTGTGTGTGAGCGCTTTCTTTAATGGGAATGCCATCTGTTCGCGTGAACAGCAAATACATCTTTATAACTGGAGATGGGGCCTGAAGCAAAACCTCAGCACCACATGCTCCTGGATCTTGAAACAGTTTAATTTTGGTTGAATTTAGCTGCTAGGACTTTTCCTTATGCATTCACTCAGTCCTCCCACAGCTGCCTACCCCATTAGGATAAGATCTGGATGTAGCGATTTGGATCTCTCTCTAACTACCCACCACCTTTGTGCAGGATCAAACAGGAGAAGAAAATGTTGTGGAGAAAAAACCGGGTAACTGATTAAAGCATTATTATGCAGGTCAAACTTCTGAAACATGCTACCACAGTGCCAAAAGGGGACACTCTCCTAGGAAAGGATTAACGTGATTACAATCAGAAGGCTGCTTGGGAAGATGTGGTGATGTGCTATTGAACTAGGATGAGTTTGAGCTGATTGTTTCTGCATTGTCAGTTAAGGGTTGATATTTTAAATCCTCATCACTAGGTTTCAGAGGCAACAGCCTATTATGATGAATAGGGTACACATATTTGCCTTAGAGCCATGGTTTCACTGTGGCTTGGCTGTAGATGCTGTAAGACAATATTTCACACTTGGAAGCTTTTATCTTGAGGACTGTGAGGGTGAGAAACGTAACTATTTTAAATGGAAAGCTTAAATTCTGCAACAGCTAACAGGGTCCCAGCCATGAAGTACGACTATGTGACGCCATTGTTTTAGCTTCTGCTGACTATGATGGAGGACAAAGACTGATGTGATAACGCTGGCCCCAGTTTGTGTTAAGGATCCATTTACAAATGGACATTTTAATAAATGGTGAATTGTTAGCATCTAACATCTGCTTGTAACGAGGGTTTCATCACTCTACTGCACATATTACCCCTGTCTAGAATATGCAAATAATATCTATTTATTAGCCCTTTATAAATGGAACCTGAATCTAGCATGACCATTTAGCTTTGTCCAGGGCTGTGATTAGGGCCTGGTCTACCCAGCTCCGATTTCAGCCACTGGTGTGCTGATGTGGCTACAAACTTCTAGTATAGACAGGCAAAACTTCTGAAAGGAGAAGCAGCCCCGCTCTTGCGAACTGCAGTGTACCCTTGCGGCTCTGTGTACATGGGGGGAAAAAAGGGTGAGTTAGCTTGAGTGGAACCCCTCCTTTTAGGCCGGTTTGGGCACAGTTCAGCACCTTTCAGATCTCACAATGCAACCAGCTCAGACAAGCGCAAAGGTATTCAATTGTTTCTACACAGCTGGAGTGGGGGAGGTTCAATTAAGTTAAAGTATCTGTTCAAAAGGCAACCCCCTGCTTTTTGCCACTTGAGATGGTCTAGGCATTTGCAGTAATGGGACAAGCTGTACCAGTGGCTTGTCACCAGTGGCTGAAATAGGGGGCCTAGGGCTAAAGGGATGAGGGCCGACATATCTAAACGTCCCTGTGCTAAGTAACTTTGAGAACTCTGGACTCAGGGGAGGGCAGTGCAGGTAGAGAGGTATTGATGCTTTGCTCCAACTTTGCTTCCCCTCTGTTCATCCGGTAGGGCCGTGAAGTTGAGCTGTGGCATAACTGCCTACAATAATGCCTTCTCCTACTGCAATTTGACCACAGAGTAATGTCCCAAAACCTGTGCTAAAGACCTGGGGTTGGGGTGAAGACTGACTAAACACTGAGGGGGAACCGGGACCGGCTCATCCTAACTCTCCAAATGGTTTTCCCCAGTTCTAATTATGATTTTATGAAGCAGAATACAGATGGCAGCACTTGATACTTAACCTGCTCTTCCACCCTACAGTGAATGAGAGCAATAGCCATCATTGGGTTTCTGTCCCATTTCCCGCCACCCGCCGCACACACACACAAATCTTGTTACTCACCATAGGACGATCCTTGTACATGTTTGGATAACAGAGATCTGATGGTTGGTAAGGGGATGAGAGCAAACAGCATTATGGCCCGAGCTGTAACACAAATAAATGGGTAGCTTTCATCAGTACCTGCTGGCAAAACGTCAGCTTAGTGCCCCTTAGGGCAAGACCATAAATTGCAGATCAGGGCTGGGGCGGTGTTGAGCAAATCACAGGCAACAGCTGTGCATTGTAGGATTCACTGTGTGATGTGGGCAATGTGGTTCTGTCAGTCCCTCTACAGTATTAAAAACTAATCCTCGTATTTAGGCAGGTCATTGTCCCCTTCTAGTGGGTGGTCCACGTGAGTGGAGGGGGGGTCTACCTGTCAGCAAAGAGGGTTACTCCTTTAGAGGTCGATCAGCAGGGCTCATGCTCTTAGGGTCCTAGCTTCATTCACAGGCAGGATGATTGTGTTATCTAGGAAAGTGATGGCTCTGCTATTGGTTGGGCCTTAGATCTGAAGCTCTTTGGGGCACGGCCTGTCTTTTTGTTCTGTTTGTACAGCACCGAGCACAACAGGGTCCCGGTCCATGTGACTGGGGCTCCCAGGTGCTACTGCAATACAAGTATTAAATAACATCTTACAAACAATGCAGGATTACAGGTTGGTGATGGAAGCTATTTAACCAAGTATGCTTTTTCCTACCCCATTTCCCTGAAACCTTGTTCCTCCAACATGTCTTTCTGTTGAATAAGCAAAGCTGTTAGAAAGTCCATTCCCCTGTTGTTTCTTTACTATTCCACCTTGTCTCCAGACAGAATAATTTTCAGTGGACTTTCAGCTTCCATTCATACAGGGTATACCAGCATCACACAGACCTTATTTTTGTTTTGCTCTCCCTTAGCACTGTGTCCCTGTCAGTCTTTCAGCAAGGAGATCTTAAGCTGAATGGTATAGGCCTCTTTCTCTCTACATTTACTAAACATTCATCTTGCAGCTGCTCACTGCCACAAACAAGGATACAGTTTTTATGCTGCAGTAACTGTTTCCTACCGCCAAACTCAGCTCCTGAGAGAGTCAGGAGGCCTATCCCTGTCTACCCCTTGTCCATTTATGCCTGTGACCCACTAACCCCCTCTTTTTGTCCTATGATTGCAGCAGTGTTAATGGGCTTCTCTACATGGAATGGTCCCTTCCAAGATGTGCTAACTACTTAATGCTGAACAAGCTGTTCCACCTGGCATTTTTGCGATGACTTCTGGCAATGCCTTTCCCAGCCCCGAAGAAGAGCTCTGCCTGGCTCGCAAGCTTGTCTCCCTCACCAACAGAAGTGGGTGAAATAAAAAATAATTCCTCACCCACCTTGTCCACGTCTGTACGTACAGCGCTGCAGCAGCGCAAATGTGCCTCTGCAGTGTGCGGGGTGAAGATGCTCTAGAGATGGGAGCAAGCTCTGCCATCGGCATAAAAACAACACCTCTGTGAGTGACATAAACTAAGTCAACAGGAGAGGCTCTCCTGCCAAAATAGCACTGCGCATATGAACGCTTATGTCGCTCGGGGGGAGGGTGGGGGGTGGAATATCCCCCCCCCCACAAGCCAAGCAACGTATATTTTGCCAACATAGCCTGTAGTGTAGACAAGGTCTTACTTAAAGTTCAGGATTTTGGATACGTACTGCTAAGTTTAACTGCTACAGTGGCTCTAGTTGACAATTAACAATGCTTGACAATTAGGCTTCCCACCAACCATAGCTATGCCTTACTGTGAACCAACAAGAAAACTTTGTCCAATCAGCTCCAGTCCATAGGATGCCTCCATTTCATCTTTGCCAAGGTAACCCAAACTTTCTTCCTTCTCATCCACAGGCCTTTCCTTACAAGGAGAAATATTACCCATAATGAAGACAGACTGTTGTTTGACTAGTATTAATAGCTGAAAAGGGTTTTTTCTCCTATGCAAAGCTGCCTTTCATCAGCTTAGATCTGGGATATGACCTAGTGAAAAATTACCAGCACTAACTAGTCTTTAAAACAAATGATTTTATAAAAAAAACAACCCAAATCCCTCCCAAGCCAACATGTGACATCAAGTTTATTACTGTTAATCCAGCAAAGACAGGGGAAAAGATGGGGCTGACCCAACAGCTAAGGGCCCACACATTTAGGTAAAATTCACAGCTGATCAGAATTTTGCACCTTGGGCTCAAAGTGGCTGCTGGTGTAGTGGGTTAGTGAACTCACGCAGGCCCCTTGCTGCCATCTCAGGAGGAGCAGAGTGGGGAGTCATGGGTCTGCTCTTTATGGCCTTTCTGCCACCCCCGGGGAAGTAGGGACAACCCTGTAACCAGACATCAAAGATGAGGTATGTGTGAGGGAGGACACAGGAGGAGGAAATTGCTTCTTACACTGTCACCATGTTGACCTCTTAAACTTTAAACCCTGATGTAATAGGAGAATTTTGTGTGGGTGAATAATTTACTGTGGCTAGAAGAGTCTCTTTGGAAAGTGTGTCTCTCCCACAGTGTTTCCTGCTCTGAGGTTTTCATTGACGTGAACAGCAAAGAGCTTTATACTGCTGCTGAAGCACAGCTCTTGCACATCTCCCTTTTCTCCGCCTGCCTGCCGCCTAGCGTACATGGGGATCAGTCATTCTCCCTTGCAGTGGCTGTGACCAATCATGTCACAGTTCAACTCACCAATGTAGAACAGGAATGTCTGTCGCACAAAGGCCATGATGAGAATGCCAATGCTGAAGGACAGTATCCCAATGATGATCATAGTCGTGTCCCTTAAATACTTGGAGAACACAAAAACCCCCAGGAAACTGGTAATAAAGATCATGTAGCCAGCAGCATTGCCATAGCCAATCTCCACTGGGCCCCAGCTCAAAGGTTTCTTAAGCAAAAACAGCGGAAGCACATCCATGGCTCCCACAACTGCTAGGTCATACAAGACTGCCCCGACGAAGAGCATTGCAATGATGAGTTTTGATGGTGCCAGGGGGCTGCGCCCCTCGTTCTCACAGGAACCTGAATTCCCTGCAGTTCCTTCATCCTCTGGTAGCTGGCTGTCAGGCTGATCTATGTCCTTGGGTTTGCTGTGAGCTAGGGAAGCTGGGCAGGTGCCTTCAGGCATAGGGACTTTCAGAACAAAGACGCTGTAGAGGAAGCAGAAGGCATAGCAGGCAATGCTGCAGGCCACTAGCACGGTGCCCTGTTGATAACTTATGTGGGAATGGACGAAGATGTGCCCAGACGCTATGCTTCCCAAGAAGCCCGCCATCCCATAGGTCAGCTCGATAACAATCAGCCGCAGAGACCTCCTGTGCTCGGAGGAGCCCAGAGACCCCAGAGCCATGACGCCAGCCCAGTAGGTGGTGAAACCTCCCGTCAGACCGTTTAAGGCCGCCGCCCCATACAACACCTCAATAGGCCACTCCAGCAGGATTAAGAGGAGCAGGAGGGACCTGGAGACTAGATAGCCGAGGAGAGGTAAGCAAATGGTGAGCTTCCTGTTCTTCTTGTCGCCAAGCTTTGTCAGGCCGTAGGCCGTCAACAAGGGGCTCAGGCCCAGAATCAAGTTGTAGATGATGTAGAAGTCAGAGACAGCTTTCTGCTGTAGATCCTCAAGCATGTGCGCTGGGGAGGTTGAGCTGGTCCGGTTGTAGTAGTTCTTCACCACTAGCAGCAGCCCTGTGTCGTAAAAGGAGCTGGCTATCTGGGCACCAGCTACCACGGGCTCAATCCAGGTCCTCACCGCCATCCCTCCGACCATGGTGGCTGCTGCTGAACCTTTCCTTGGGGCTACTGGCAAGGAGGTGGGTGGGGAAGGAAGAGCGGCAGGGAGGTGTGCTGGAGACAGCAGGTTCAGAAGTTCTGGTGTTAAAACCGAAAGTCACTAACGTCTGCAAGTTAGCACAGAAACAGAGTTGTGTGAGAGCAACGCTGGCTGCACCTCCCTCCAGCCACACACAGCCCCGTGCAGTGACTGAGACTGCTCTCAATCCTGCCTGTGCCAGGGACGCTTTTGCGTGCCTGGAGCCCGCCCTCCACTCTCTTCCTGGCATGCATTCAGAAAGGTCACAGGGCCCTGGCTTGGGGAATTTCTGTCTCACTTGGGGAAGTGACTGTCCCCTGGTTGTGGCTTATGTTTCACCACCCCTGAGCTGAAGCGTGCAAAAGGAATCACAGCAAAGCAGTGGCAACATCTACCTATGGGGTGGGGGTGGGGGAAGGGTGGAGAGGGCTGAGGTCACTGGACAGTAGCCCTCCTTCCCCCCCACCCATCTTCACCCACCCCATGTTTGTTGCTGGTGGCTTTTGAACCTGTTTACCCTGTTCCTTGCCCCCCCGCCCCAAAACCTTTTCAACAATTTGAACAGCAAATTGTAGCAGGAAATTCAAACAAAAACAAGGCTGTTGCACTGACCTGTCTCCACAGCCACTCCTGTGTATTCAGCCTCACTGTGCTTCTCAAATGAGGGCAATCCTGACGGGCTCTCTTGGCTTACGCACACAGCAGAGTCTAGAAATAACTCCCTTCCCACACTAGCTGAGTAACCAGTGAGCTGAGGAGTTAGTAGCTGTGGTGAGTAACAGGCCACATACTGGAAAATGTGTGGCAACACCACCCCCTTAGCCTGGGCTCTCCTGAGGGCCGAGACACCGGGAACAGCAAGGCAACTGGAAAAGGGAGGCTGACTAGCAGGATATGTACTGTGACCATGTGTGCTTTCGCAAGATCCTCTTGCCCAACCCATCTCCCAAAGCAGCCTCTTCCCATCAAATCACCCCACCATGAGGGACACCCTTGCTCCGTTCCTGCTGCTGGGGAAAAAGAACTGATCTCCTGAAAAAGAGCCATCTCCATGTCTCACCCCCTCTTTTCTTTGCCCTGAGGCATCGGGTCCTGCCTCGGGCCCCCCCGGGAAGAAAGTAGCTAATGTTTGGTGTCCAGCCATCTCCAACACAATGGAACTATCAAGTCCCTAATTTTTTTTAAAGATAGAACCGGCTAACCTCAACAGCCATGACTGAGCACCCCACCAATATCGGGGTGGGGGGAGGAAACAGGGAGGGACAGAAGAAGAAATAAAATCTGTGACTAACCTAGGCCTGGCCCTTGAGGGGAGGGGAATTGGGCAGTGGGGGGTATTTTATACAGTTTTGTTCAATAGATTAACCCCCTTGGGGATTTTTCAGTTGCATCCTTCTACATACATTTGCATCCAATGCAAAAGAGCAGCAAAATACCCGGGGACTGATTGGCCAGTGATTTCACTATTTGTTTTGTTGCACTAAGGCTGCTCGGGTGGGGGTTGAAGTGTTGTGTTTGCTTTGTATAAACCAGGATCTCTTCTCTCCTCCATCTCTAGGATTTCCAATGTCTGAGAAACAAAAGTAGGTGAAATACACCCAGAAATAGCTGCAAGGACAGGCCCAGGGGCACCTCTATACCCAAATGACAGATGGTCAGGTGTGAGAACAACCTTTAAGTAGCAGTAGGAAGGTAAGCAAAGGCAGAAAACTTGGTTAGCATGGACTATGCCCTGCAAATCTTTCTCGTGGCTTTGCTATGTAATGCAACTATCCCAAAATCATGCTGATGCAGGGACAGACTCTGATCTCTAAACTTCAGTGTTGTTACTTGAGATCATGGGCACCATGTGAACCACCAGCTGGAGGAGGCTTGTCCCCAGCTCCACCCTTTCCGTCCCCGCCCACCACAGCCACCAACCCCTGCCCCAGGTGAGCACCCCCTCCAGCCCAGAGCACCAGGAGGGCGGGCTGCGTGACCCCAGCCAGGGCCACCACAGTGGGGAGCTGCAGAGGAGGCCTGGGGGGCAGAGCATGGGCGTGGCCACACCTGGCTATTTGGGGAGGCAGAGCCTCCCCCCGCCTTTGATACCCACCGCCCATGCTTGAGATGCAGACTGGTGTTATGTAACACTTCCCAGTTGGGCCCCAAACCTTCAGACCATGCTGCACTATCGTGTCTGAGTACAGCCATATAGATACACGACATACATGAGAAACCAAACATCGTCATCGACCTCCCTCAGCCAGATCACCTTGAGGCTAACAACGTGGGGCTCTTGCAGTCCAAGGAGTTAGGAAGGAAGGGAGTCACACAACTGATGACTCAGCAACTGCAGCCAGCCCTCTCCCTGGAGCAGCTCTGAGCACACCTATGGCAGTCTGGCCTCTCATTTACGCAGGTGTGAAACTATTTAGTCCAAGCCAACACCTTAAACTCCACCCAGAAACTAATCCAAAATCAGAGCAGGCCAAGGAGATATGGCGTAACGTGATGTCCGGGTGAAGAACTGTTTACTGGAGCAAAGCAGCAAGAAAAAGTTCTTTTGGGCCTAAACCCTCAGTTTTCAGTAAGGCAAGACTATCACTGATTCCGATCGTTCAGACACCCCCTTCCATGGCTATCCAGAGGTGAAAGTAAGCCGGTACACAGCCGGCTGTACCAGGAGGGGACAGCTTCCCCAGTCCGGCAATGGAAAAGGGCCCTGGGCTCTGTGGTTTCAGGTCAGTGCGGTGCTCGTGTTCTTGTAACACTGACCGATCCCGGTCGCCGGCGGGGGGGAATCAAACCTCGGACCTCTGGAACCAAATGCATGAGCCTCTACCGCATGAGCTAAAAGCCATCTGCCTGCTGATGGATGGCATTGACTTACCAAACATTCCTGGTGAGGAAGGTAGAAAAGTAGGGCCAGAGCTAGCCTAACGAACGGCTGTTTTACTTCCCTTTCAAAACCGCAGACGGGCTGAACAGCAGAAGCAAATATCTCCTGTTTTTAATCCCCTGCCGCCTTTATTTATTTTTCAGTCCTGGGTTCTGTGCTGAGCCAGCAAACTCCTTGGGTTGCACTCATTTGTGTGCTGCTCTCCCTTGTGGAAAAATCAGAACACTGCAACCTCCAAAGTTTACATTTTCTGCAGGATTTGGTTCTCCCTTGGGGAACTGGAGGTATATAGGTGACTAACGCCTCTTATGGTTAATGGGACCTCCCCACATTAATCCCCTACATGTAGAGAGGAAAATATCTCTTTATCATGTTGAACAGAGTCTTAAAGCTAGTCTTAATTGAGGAATAAATCTCATCACAATTCCTAAATAATCCCCAAATATTCCTCACGTTACGTATTGCTCTGTGCATCACCTGGCTTTCATGTAACTTTTCTCACTAATTGAAACTTTTTGGGAAGGGGGAGGATTTAGGCATGGAAAAGAGATGAGACACACCTCTATGTCCATGCAGTGACACACAAGAGGAATGTGATGACTAAAACAACAGCAGCATTAGGTTAAAAAATTCCAGGGCCGATAAAGCAAACGTGGCAGCTAAGGGAAGCTTACAGCCATGACACAACTCATAGTAAAAAGAACAAAAAGGATCACTGTTGAATCTAAAGATCTGTGGAAGCCTAATTTTAAAAAAGTTATTCAGAAACAATGCTTCTTATATACCCTTTGTCTATATTTTATTTCAGAAAGCTCTACAAACATCTCTGGTAAACAACAAACAAGCTAAGGAGACAGGGCCTGCTTTGAAGAGCCTACGAAGTTAAGAGGCAGTAGGATGACTGGAGAAGAGAAACCCGGGATAGGGAAGGGTTAGGATGATAAGATCACGTGAGTTACTCTGGTTAGGAGGAGACACATCTTTTAATGGTCTTGTGTGTTTGTATCAGGGGAAGATGCGACTCTTTAGGTTTCATGGAGAAAATGTGTCTTTAGCTAGGACCTGGGTGGTGAGAGTGGAAACATGTCAGGCAGGAAGGGGGTTCCAGCCATAGGTGGCTGCACAGAAGAAGGTCCTGAGGCTAGAGTGGGAAGAAGGAAACAAAGTGAGTATTTAAGGTTGGGCGGGTGAAATATGAGAGTTGGAGCAAAAAGGGGCTGTGGAAGGGAGGCTCAGGACCGTGACATCGATAGGAAAGGCCAGGGCAAAGGACTTGAAGAGGAGGATCCGGACATGGGCGATGTGGATGATTTTTGTGGGTGCTTTGTGGATGGATGGGAGAAGGCAAGATGGAGACACAAGGAAGCGGTGATAGTTGAGGCAAGAGACGATGAGGAGCTGGATGCGCATTTGAGCAATGGGAATGGAAATGAACGAACGTGTTCTAAAGATGCTGCAGAAGAAAACCTGGCAACAGGAACAATACAGGAGGAGAGGATTCCAGACTAATAGAGTTTATGAGGGAGGATGGTGAAATTGGTAACAGTGAAGAAAAGGGATCATGATAGGAGAGTCCAAGAGGGAAAATGAAGAGTCTGTTTTTTACTGTGCTCTGTTTGAGTTGGTGGCATGATATCCGGGAAGAGATGCTGGGAGGGCAGCTGCAGAAAACAAGATTGCATGGAGGGGGAGGGAAGCGGGTTAGGGAGGTAGCTAGGTGTGTCCAAGGTATAAAGGGATTATTGGTAACCTGGGGGAAAGCGTATACAGAAAAAAGAAGAGGGAGTTGAGCTAAGAACAGTCACCGAGGACCTCCGTGAAGGAGCAGGAATATCTATAACTGTAACCTATGATACATAGGGCTGAAGTTACTCTCCTTCTTAACAACAAAATCCCCAGGAGACACCCCACCCCTGAAAATCCACCACACAGTAAATTAGCAGAGACATTTCACGTTACCACAACACAGTTAGGGCTAACTCTGGATTTATAAGCCCCAATCTTCCCCGGCTGGCAAAAGGAGAGGCTAGAGTCACCACCAGTATTGGGCACCTAAACTGCAACAATTTCTAATACCGAGACCAGCGAGAGCCTCTAACATCACTTGTTTCTCATGTGCCTGGGTATTGTGCTGTACTAGATATTGAAACAACAACAACAAAAAACGGAAGGAAAGCGACACTTGTTTTTAGTCATGGAGCTGTTTAAGTTTGCCAGACTCCTCTCTGCTTAATGTCAAGTCAAACAAGTGCACTTCATTTGTAAAATTATCTACAGCTTCCACACTAATACTACACATCTGGTGATGTTTACAAGTTTAATTGGTCCCTTTTTTCCATTCAGCAGTTCTTCTCACTAGGGTGTGTGTGTTTAACGCCCAGAATGCAAAAACTAAGCTTTTCTGGTATAAAGAAAGCCAACTGCCCAGAGCATGTCAGACGCCCTGCTTGTTTGTGATGAAACTATGGGTTGTTAGCAGGCTTCCCCTGGGTCCAGCCCAACAGACTCCCTGTTAGAGCACCAGCATCAGGGTATGGTCCTGTACAATAACAGAAAATGTGCTATCACAAAGCAATGGGATTGTGTCACTGCTTATCTCATGAAAGTGATGAGTAAAGACAGCTTTTATGGTTGAAATCTGCCATTTCCCCTCTACTTGCCTTTGATTTATATTTGGGCCCTCTTAATTTCTAATGATTCAAAGCTTTAAACCAGCCAAGGCCTGGTTCCTATTCTGTCTTTCACAACTGTTCACTTCTTTTTTCTCCCAGCACCCTGAGACACTATCTGTCACTGAGTGCTGCTGAGCGGCATACAGGATGGCACCCTTGGATAAGTCATCATTCCGCTAGCTCCAAAATGCCCATGTCAAAGGGATCACAGAGCATTAGGCCGGGCACATGCTCCTCCCCATCAAGAGCCCTGGCTCCTCAACGTGAGCCCTCATGATTATGAGATTTCAATGGCAGGCTACCAACCCACCCCTCTGCATCTGCTCCAGTGATGCAGCCTCTACCAGCAGGTACATCTCCTAGTGCATGGAAGAAATTAAGAACAGCTGACTCAGAAGTCATCAAAGAAAGCTGGAAAAGGCAATGCTAAGAAGAGGGGGAAACTCTGCCAAACTTGTCACAATAATCTCACCTCAGTTGAGGGAAATCCAACCACTGATCACCAAGATACTACAGAGCCTTGGGGTCTGCTGGCCTTCTCACTACTCCTGGGTGTGCCGATTACTTCATTGGTGAGGGATGTTTTCTCCATTCTTATTGGGCTAGGGGACTATGCCTCTTATTCCCACATGAGGACTTCGCCTCTGTGATCCTTAATTTAAACAGCACGGCCAGGTTAGGCTGTTGCATTCTGCTCTTGGAATGTGATTGCCACTCAGAAGCTGCACCCAGCAGCCCACATATTGTACCAACATGAATGTTTTGCACCGGCTCTCTGCAAACTCCACTGACTCTCCTAATCCTAATTCCAGCAAAGTTAACACCTGAGTGCTAGCCCACAACACCATTCACAGGCTAGATTGGTTGTTATCAGCTCACGTATCCATGACCCACCAAGACAGCTTCCCGTCACAAAGCTGCCACCGCTAAATGGGCCCAAGTAAAGGCACTTGGGAGCATAGATGCTGCCGCACGCCCTGGCATGGAGCTGTTGATACAAGGTTACAGTTTGGTTCACTGGCTCTCTGCACCCCCTACTATAAAGCTTGTTCCATCCCTCCTGCTTGGGAGCAGATCTTTATCTTCCACAGGAGAGCAGACTGAGCCCGGCTTGCCCCGTGTTTAAATGCCACAACCCATTCCTTCCACAAGGTTTTCCCCCTGGGCAGAGAGAGACTCAGAGGGGGCCAAGAGGACTCAGGAAAGAGAGTCCATTTAGGGCACACTTGCTATGACTCAATACTTGGACACTGTGGGAATGGGTGCCTTAGAAATACCTTTAGAGCTTAGATAGAAGATATCGAACTGGTGATACAGACGTTCATGTTGCCTATGAGATCAAGTGTATGTGCTGCAATAAATCCCAGGGAGCATATATCATGTTATTGTCCGGCCATTTCCTGAAATCTTTTAACTAGAGACTGATTCCGGAACCAAAGGGCCAAGAGTTGAACCAGGGATAGATTTGGCCCCCGAGATCAAATGTCTGCTTTAGAAAGCGTATCAGATTCGTGCCGTTTGAATTGCTGGGCTTGCACTGCCCTTGGCCAAATGCATTAGCTGCTGTTTAGCTTTAACCCCTGTTCTTTGTAACGTAACACACAATTTCAGCTGGCTTCAGAAACTGTTCCCTCAACATCACAAGAATAAACCAAGTCTTTCCTCTAGTTATCATTCTGCCTGTCTTTTATTTCCTTTTCTTACATCACAGGTTTTCCACTGTTTACAACACTTCCCCATCTGTCTTATTTTTTGCTTTGAGTGTTTTCTTTCTTGATCTGCCACTTCCCAGGACCCTTAGTTACACTTGTACTTTTTTTTTTTTTTTTTAATACAAGGGTAACTTCCAAACATATTCATCAGCTGCCTTGACTACAGTCAGGTTACATGGACGATCAATTTGGCCCTTTCCCCCCGTCTCTTGAATTTTCCTTTGTCCTACAGTTTTCATCTGCAAGGGGGGGGGGAATTAGGGTTGTGCCTTTTGTGTGTCCTTATGATGTACAGAGAGCTTGTTCTTCCCAGCTATTTTTCCCCAAATTGTTTTACCATCAAACTATCAGGAATATAAAGTTTCATCATCCCTGGTTTTGCTGGAGGCCTCCTTGGAGGAGCAGAGAGCTGGAGAAGGGACTTTTCCTGGCCCTTAACTGAATGAATGAGATGCTGAATCTTAAACTAACAGAGCTTACATTTGTCTGGTATTAGAGTCATGAATAGGTGTTAAGAGAACAAAGCAAAACCAGAGCTTTAAACAGCCTGAGTAAAAAAATCTTTGCCCTTCAGAATCACTGTTCTATGTCTGTTCGATATAGATTCTTGTATCTATAGTATCTGAGCACCTCAGGTTTCAGTTCCATGGTACCTGGGATATCATAAAATCACAGGGTCACCTGTGCCACAGAGTCTCCCAGAAAAAACATAGAACTGAATTGACATGAGAACTCCTTCACTTGCAGGATGAGAGAGAAAAGATTAATCTGACAGGGCCGGGCCTGGCTGGAGACTGGTACAAGTAAGGAGACCTACTCCTGTCAGTAATAGGTCAGGAGTTGTCGGCGAGGGGGTGGGGATGGGGAAGTGGGCCAGTGAGCGCAGCTACAGCCTACACCTCTCGGCAGTTTCCGTCCTTCTGTCAATGCTCAATGAAAACAGGAACTGGGCACCGTCTGGCACTTAGGTGTAAACAATTCCTGCTCTAGAACCATTTGAAAAAAGACCAAAAACAAACGGAGGAAAGGCTGAAACAGAAGAGCACATGGAGGTGAGGTGCAAGGGAGATGCACATCACTGACGGTCTGGGACTGGCCCTGTGCTGATGCTCTGCCTCAGAGCCTTGCTGCTGAAAGCAAACTGCGTGAGCTGCCCTGCTTTCCTTTAGCTTTAACAACGCCCCTCTCCCCTTCCACTTAAAGAGGGTTGGCTGAGTTCTCTCTGCCTCCTACACACAATACCTGGGTAGCCAAACTGTGACACACACGTCATCACGGGCATGTGTTGGAGACTCCACCTTTCAGCAGGGATATACTTAACAGGAGTGCTGGGAGGCTTCACTGCCATTTAATGACTCATAATTAGTAATGTCCACAAGTGCTTTGAAAGCCTTAGCTGAATTGTACGAAGTGCTACTCACTAGGATGTCACTATTTGTTCATATTCTGAACTCCCTAGTTTGGGCATTGTGTTAAACTATGGGGGCATTTAATGACAGCTCAAGGCCTTTGCTCAGCCCAGTGTAAGGCAGCTGGAGTCATTCCTTTACCATCTGCAGTAAATCAGCTCTGGCCTCTCTCTAGACGCCAGCTTTGTCTAACCACGTTTAGCTGGCACCAGCCTGGATGCCCACTGCACTGGACTACACAGAATGCAGCCCCGTGACCTGAAGTGCGCACTGAGGATGAGCTCATCACATTGCTATGTCTACACCCACGGCTGGCCTGTGCCAGCCGACTCAGGCTCCTGGTGCTCGGGCTAAGGGGCTGTTTAATTGCAGTGTAGATGTCCAGGCCCTCTCAGGGCCCTTGAGCCCAGGCTCCAGCCCAAGGCTGAACAATTAAACAACCTCTCAGCGTGAGCCCGAGTCATCTGGGATGGGCCAGCCGCTGGTTTTTAATTGCAGAGCAGGGTGGAGGGTAGGGGTTCAGCGTGGGATGGAATGTAGCCCCTGGAAGTGTGAGTTATTCAGACTGGACCCTCTAAGTGAGGGGGCAGGGGCTGCACTGTTCTCAGGGCCCTTGTTTTCTGTGTGTTATGGCTAAAAGCTTCAATTTTCAAAAGTAATTAGTGATTTTGGAGGCCTCAACATTAGGACACCTGGACATATGTTGGCAAATGGCATTTGTCCAGCTCTGCCATGCTAACTAGCGATGATTCGTTGTCCTGAAAAGGGGAAGAGGCTGAAGTTCCTAAACCGTATTTAATAGCTATGGCCTAAGTTTTCAAAAGTAATTTTGTAGGCCTCATCTTTGGGTGCCCAATGTGGGATACTTTAAAGGGCCCTGCTTCCCCGACTGCAAGTCCTGCCTTCTTTTGGAGCTGCCACTGCTAACATTATTATTTGTATTGCAATAGTGCCCAGGAGCCTCAATCATGGACCACACAGAACAAGAACCAAAAGACAGACCCTGCCCCAAAGAGCTGGGACTGTAAGTAAGAAGCCTTCCTGGGCCGAGAGAAGACCATAACTCTAACAACACTGATAATTACCTTTAGTAAAGCAAAATAAAACCAGTTCTTGTAACTCCATTTGGTAATAGGGAAGCACTTTGCAGTAACAGGATGTGGTGGCTCCCCACTGTTGCATAGACAGGAAGTGTCACATAAAGTTACCCTTCCTTCTGATTGCTTTCGTAGTTAGAACCTGAAACAGAGAGCGAGAGAGTTTTGGTTGTAGACTATCCCAACAGGGCACATCATGGAACATGGATCTCTGTTTAGCCATGTTATATAACTAGCCTGATTGCTTTCTTTCCCCACACCCTTACCCAGAAACATTTCTTAGTGCAGCAGTCCCGGAATGGTTTGACCTACCTGATGCCTCTTGCACAACCTAGTGATCTGGAGCTTAGTGAGAAAGAGAGAGAGAGAGATATTTTTGTTAGCCAAGCTGGATGCTAGGAATCCTGGGTGTTAAACTAAAACTGAGCCATATGCCGCATGTTCAGATTTCATGAGAGAGGGGTTTTTGGCATCATCAGTTGGCTGGCACAGGAGACTCTATTTTCTTTCCATTTCCCACACCTAGACAAACTAACATCCATTAAATGAAGACAGCTCATTGTTAGAGAGGAACACAGGTACTGCAGCTCTGCATTATGACCCTGACTACAGGGGCACATGTCACTCCTGCAGATTTTTCTCTCCTGCCTCTGGCTTCATACATTTGGAAGCCCACATTCAGAGGCTGTCAAGGGCAATGTTGGACAATGGGCATAACTGACATGCCAAGGGGTCGTAGCAGGAAAAGCAGCTAACAGGCAGGTGTAAGGGCCAGTAAGGAGAGGGGACACCTATTTATTCTTACCACCTTCCTGTTCTTTGCTGCACCCCTACCTGCCGCTGTGGCAGGAAAGTGATACCCAGTTACTTGTGTATAACTTACCCAACCTGTTATGTCACTTCAGTCCATCTGAGTCTGGTTTCAGAGTTGCATTCCGATGCCAACTCCTATGCTAATGTATTACACCAAGGGTACTCCGTGAGAGCGAGAGAGCGAGAAAGAAAGGGGGTAACTTCACTGAAAGCTGATTATTTTTGTTTGGGTCTGTTGCTTCAGCTGGCCTTGCTGCTTCAGTGCCTCTTAGTTCCCTTCAGAGATTTTGTTGTATGGCACTGTGTGTCAGATGCAAGTGCCAGGTGGATATATACATGACAGCCAGCCTCTGCATTCAGCTCAACTTCCTAGGACTGGACAGCAGAGATATTTCTTTGGAAAAAAAGCACCTACTTCTGTACAACCTAGTGTGCCCTCTAGATGGCACTGTTATTGCACACAGATCAGTATGAGCCAGTCTGTTTTGCACATCTGACAGTAAGGGAGGTTTAAGGGACTTGGGTAGCTTTTGGGCAGTTCCATTTTTCTCTCATTGATTTTTCTGCCATTTCACTCTGCTGTGGCTCTGTCTATGAGAAGGGGACAGACGTAGCAGGATTTGACCAAAGTCATGACATGTTCCCACACCTTGGTGTTTCCGTCTACCCTCACAATTTAACGATCACTTGATACATTGTGACAAGTACCTACATCCAGGAGCAGAAGCTCTTAGCACAGGGACCAAAGTCAACATGCTATTTAATAATGATTTAATCAGGCCTGTTAATGGGTGCACACTATGTAAACTCATTTCATACATTACTACTAGTTCTGGGCTAAACTATAGCTCGTGCCAAACTTTGAGCTCCCCATCAGCCTGCTTCTCCTTCAGATGCTGCTTGGTTTTTGTCGCTGACCCTGAGGCTGGTAGAACAAAACTGCTTCTGCTCTGAGATATTGGAAATTGGATATTGAGCTGTACGTGGGCATGAACCAGATCTCTGGCTCTGAATGCTCCCCAAAATCTAGGGAAATTCAGCTCTGGATCCAAACTTTGTGCCTCAGCTCTATCTCTGATGTTAACCCCAGGAACCGTCAGGATAGACTCACTCATGAGATTTCTAAAGGGATAGGAACCAAGGCCCAGAGCCTCAAAGATACTTAGGCAAACGCCCACTGAAATCAAGCACCTCAATATTGTTGATGATCCGGGACCAAACAGGCCCAGTTCCTGTCTTTGCCCACACCCCAGCATGAGTCCTGCCGCCTTCCTTCCCTTATCTGTAGCCATCCCATCATGGCGTATGGCACACACAGTTGGCCAGCTGCCTCCATCTGTGCCCACCTTCCCCGTGCTACGGGCCCCACTCTCCCTGCTCACATGTATTGCTAACAACATGCTGATGCTTCCTACCTCCAACCTGACTACCTACCATATACCACCCTTCACCTGTCGCCTCGCTGGCTGAGAGGAACTGGCTTCATCTCTAATGGAGGGACGGGAAAGTCTGTGGCATCTTAGCAGAGGCTGGCGTCTCAGCCTGCCTTTGCCTCCCAGCCTCCAGGTAGCTTCCCTTCTCGCTAAGCGACTGGCTACATGGGCCTGTTTGGAGA